CACACACTCACACACACACACACACACACACTAGGGTTGCAAAGGGGTGGAAAATTTCCGGCAAGTTTCCGGAAACTTTCCAAAAAAATCCCTGGAATATTCCAAAAAATCCTGGAAGTTTTTCAAAATTTCTGGAATATTTCCTAAATTTACTGGAAATTTTCCACCTTTTTGCAACCCTAACAGACACACACACATCTCTGAGTCAAACAGTGAACTGTAGAAGTAATCATTCACACACCCAACGATAAAAAATTCTAATGGTTTCACACACAGTGATTCATAATAAGAAATCAATGTGTTAAAAAAGCCTTTAACTTAATGATTTATTAATGGCCTCATATCATATATTTATCATATTTATGCCAAGGCTGTAACCACGTCTTGAACATTGTGGGGGAGCAAACTGGACCAGTTTCATGACCATTTGATAATGGTCACTTTTATATAAAATAATATCACACTTATAGGATTTAACAGGATTTAAGACAATGAAGAAAAGAAACAAAAACATCATTAAGACATTTTAACTTCAAACCATTCAAGTCCATAATCCATAATAACGCTTCCTCCAGTGAAAAAATCCATCTCCTGTTGTCTCTCACATTAAAATTCACCACATATTTGTTTAGAGCTGTTTTGGCTTGTAAACGGTGCTTGATCTGTGCAGATTTCTCTCCTGATTCAGACAAGACCACTTTTTAACTGGAAAAAGTGTTATTATGGATTCAAGGCAGTATTTCTCATTTTCATTTAATTTAATTTGATGTTCTAAAATAACTTAAACTGAAAAATGAATAAAAACTATATAGACATTTTGTAAAAATAAATAAATAAATAAAAACAAGAACAATCAAAAATGACAAACTCACAACAAAATTACTAAAACTAGCTAAAATGAAATAAATGAAAATAAAAATGAATTCAAAATATTATTAAAAACCACAACAGTATCTAAAAGATACTAAAATAACACTGATACATAAACATGGATTGATTACAACATCAACAAGATTATCAATATGGATTTTTAGTATCATAATATCACACTTTCCAACTCCATATATTAAAAAAAAAAAAAAGTTCAAATGTGTGTTTTTAACATATAGAATCTTGAATCTTGAATCTAGGGTTTGGAAAGTCTAGTTTAATGAAAATAAAATCCATATTCATAATCTTTTTACAACTGTAGATCAATTTACAGGCGTTCATTTAGCATTAGTGATGTTAAACGAGTCATAAATGTTCTGCTTACATGGTGCCGGCACACTTTTTGGGAGAAAATCAGATAATAAGGGAGTGATTGATGCCGTGATCGTCCAGAGAAAGATGCAGGACTGGATCAGAGATTAGAGGATCTATCAAAAAAATGTATCAACATACAGTAAATGATCTATTAGTCACGTAAAAAACATCTCAAACACACAAAACAATGCATGCATGCATCATTTTATCTGTAGTCACACCTTTAAATGGTGAATAAAGGCTTTAGTATAATTAGATTACATGCAGACAGTGCATACGGATATATATATATATATATATATATGTACACACACACACACATATATATAACAAAAAACAAAAAATATATTATATATATATATGTATAAACAAATTAATAATTATATTAATATATAATTACACATTTAATTAAAATATTTTAAATAATATACTACATATATATTTGTAATTAATTTGATATTTTATACAAATAATATAAAAGTATATACATATTTAAAGAGTTTTAAGAATTATATTAAAAATAAGAATTTTTATGACTGAGACACTGATGCAATGCTACATTTCTCCAAATCTGATGAAGAAACACACTCATCTATATCTTGGATGACCTGAGGGTGAGGACATTTTCAGCAAATTTTAATCTTTGAGTGAACTATTCCTTTAAAATGACCAAAAAAAAAAGGTACATGTTGCATCACTGGATATTACATGTCGGTCTTTTAACACTTCTGTCGTAAAACAGTCAGATATTAAATGTTTAGCTGCCTTACATCTCACCTTGCACACTTTCCCCATTAAAACTAACACGTTAAACTAAGCTCCGCCTTCTTTTATTTGATTGGCCGTTGAAATAATATTGACATTGACGAGTGACGAGGCAGACTAGCCTAAAAAATAGTATTTAATTTTATAATTATTTTATTTGATATTTAAATTTAATAATTATTTAATTAAATGTTTTTATTTTATTATTTACTTTGTTATGGCCTTGATTGATGCAGCATTTAATTGCATAAATCAATTAAATTTGTCAAGCTTTTTTGCCCCAAATACAGAAACTCAGTTTAGTAATTAAATTTTCCATGACCATTTTCGTCTCTCTTAGAATTAAAGAGACAGTTCACCCAAAGATATTATAAATCTCTGCTTATTTTCTGTTCATCCAATGAAAGTCAATGAGACCCAATGTTGTTTGGACCACCAACGTTCTTCAAAACATCTTTCTTTTGTGTTCTTCGGATGAAAATAAAGTCATGCAATGAATAAATGAGCTGATTTTGCTACTGTGTCTTTAAGACTTCTATATAAATGCAAATGTGCCGCTGTTATAATTACCTGTAAGATACAAAAATAAATGAACTCAGTATGTTTCAGGAATCTCTTTGAACTGTTTTGATTGGATAAAAATATTAATTACGATGTAAAAACGAAGCAGGGCCCAAAGTCTCGGCAGAGTCTGGGAGTCTCAGCTGAGACTAAATAAAATGATCGAAAACCTAATTAGAGCAGTTAGTGTGATGAGTCCAAAATAACGACATCATCTCCAAACGCTCCAATTCAGATAAAATCTCCATCCTGCTTATCTGAGCGTCACAAATGTGCGTTTTAATTTCGCTGAGATGCATTAGGGTGAAATTAGAGCATCATGGGAATTCATTAGACTCATCTTTCAAAACCCACTTCATCGATTCGCACAAGTTTGAACGAAACGCTAAATTACTTAAAAGGGTAAGCTCCAGAAACGCTTCATTATTTGTTTTTGGGGGGAAATCGGATTATGTGTGATCGATGCCGTGCTCGTCCAGAGACAGACGCATGGATGGGGGCCGCGGGGGCCACAAGACCCGGTCAGATAATCTATCGGCGGAGAGTAAGTGGCCAATTAGTCACGTAACTGTACTGAGAACACAATACAACACACACACACACAAGTCTGTTTTTATATCATGGTGGGAATTTACCATTCGCTTCTATTGCTTTTATATTAAGCTCATTATATTTGCGCTATCTGAACCCCACCTACTGATCAAACAAACATTTTGGGAATTTTAGATATTATTTTTCCGTTTTCCTCAAGGTAGTTCTCCACAATGTAAATTTTACTCTAATTGCATCATAATTGCTTACCTATAATGCATACTTACATAACAGGGTAATTACAGTTATAATTAAAACTAAAGCCATTAGTTATTTTTAACTTCAAATAAAATAAAATGTCAACTGAAAACAAACATAATTTAAAAAACGTTAAAAAAAAATCCCGCTAATTCTCA